GTATGCCAAGAAGAGTGGCTGACACTTGGTTGAAAGAAGCTATCTTATTGCTGGAAGTCAGCCAAGCAGCTAATGTCTTGTCGGCCACAGCATCAGCGTCTGGATTAGGGGCACTCTGTATTTAGAATACAGTGCCATTTAAAATCAAGATTCTTGTGTGTGATTGACTGAGTGGTTTCTTTGCTGTAAGTTAAAATGCAAGTCTGTAACGATGAAATTCTTTGAAAAGTGTAATATTATAGGTAATTTAATTTTATCACGCTAAGCACAGAAACAACTACCAATATGCAAGCTTATTAGAACAGTAAATTGAATCCAAATGTGTTTGGTAAATTAATTCTTTGACTGGCCTGAAGAAAATTACGCCCTCCCCTACACACACACACCCCCTATACCTACCGGTAGTTTGATCAAGTGCACCCTGGCAAAATTTTACTTTAGCCTTGCTATTTTTTTAAAATAGTAAAAATGCAAAAACCATTATTCATTCAAAGGACCGCTGATGTTTTTGCCAAACCTTTGTACATTTTGTGTTATGGTAATTGTCATTGGGTGAATGTCAAAATAATGGTCTTTTTTCAGACCATTTTTATGTACGTTGCCTAATATATTTCATGCAGCAGTGTACTGGCCAATAAAAATCAAACTTCATCTACTCAATAGACCTTGTCAAAAAATGGTCGTCGATGAGAGAAACAAGTTTGTTTTCACCTTTCAAAGTGTTTTCAAATCTACTGTTCCACTGAGGTTTGAAATCATAATACTAGAAAATACTTTATTTTTGCTGGAGAAATGATTCTTTGAAAGTAAAATCCAGTGAATATACCTTTTTTCCTATATTTTACATTCAACTGGTAAAAAATCAGTGAAAATAAATTCCATACAAAACACCCAAAAAGTCTTTTCAGCGAAAATTAATTCCAGCTAAAATAAAGTATTTTACAGTATTTAGAACAGAAGATGCGATGTGGGAGAGAATGAAACACTTTACGGAGCAAAAACTAAGTCAAATGGTTCTCTCGTTGTCAACAAAATGTTTGTTTTATTGATAAAGAAATGAATGTACAATTTCTTCAGTCAAAACAAACATTAACATGAATAATGATGATAATTTAGGCCACAGCTATGCACAGAATGCTAATTTTCATGGGAGGAAAAATGTTGCGGTAATGCTGTTCTGTACACTTTTCTAAGTTTGATGGCAGTGTTTTTTTTGTTTTTCTAAATCATAATGCTTATATCCCAGATCCACTAAATGTTAATGAACCAACTATTTTTGATTTTGAAATATTGTAATAATTTTCGAGTTTAATTGGAGCTTTTTTTCAAATAAAGCTATTTAACACACCAGTACCAACTTGGATTGTTTTACATATATTTTGCGTCCTGAATAAATGTAATGTAAAAAGGTATAGGACTTTGTGTGTATATATTCTTATTGCAGTACAAAATCAACTGTTACGAAATGCCTGCGCTGCAATATGACAGGTAAAATTTACAAATATGAAAATAGTTTTGACTTACTGTGGAATACTTTATTTTTGCTGGAATTAATTTTCGCTGAAAAGGCTTTTTGGGTGTTTTGTATGGAATTTATTTTCACCGATTTTTGACGAGTTTAATGTGAAATATAGGAAAAAAAGTATATTCGCTGGATTTTATTTTCACGGAATCATCCCTTCAGCGAAAATAAATTCCAAGCGAAAATAAAGTATTCTACAGTAGTGTTATCCAATATTGGAGATGTATTGAGAAAGTTGTGCTAAAGTTAATGGCACCACAAAACGATTTCTCCATGGCTTTCTTTATTTTTGGTCTTTCACCCGACCCAATGCATTCTAAGTCTTGGAAATCTTTCCAGCCATGCCCAAAATATGATTCAATTTCAATAAAACAATGAAAAAAATGTGTAAACAATTGTTTATTGCCAAGGACATTTTGAATGAAGATAACCCGTCAATCCTGTTCAACATAGCACAAGTGATCTCAATTACTGCAAGGTTATGGTGGTCATTTCTAATGGCTGCTACTGACTTGTATTGAATGTCGTAGACTGCCTTTACAGAATCATCAAATGCAAAGGCGAGAATAAAGTCATTTACTGAAGATAGTCCGATTGAATTTCTTGTACAGACAGCACCCTCTAGTACCCATGATTATTTTTGGATGATAAAGTGAACAAAACACAATAAAATTATAAAATCTTTATTAAAACGTTATTCTATATTTTGAAATCTATAAAATAATGATTACTACGACATAGATTCAACAGAGCAACATAAATATACATGTTAGGGCAGTTATAATCCTGTCCCTGAATGAATGACCCACTCATGCTATAATTGGATGACTAGTATTCAGCATCAACTCTGCCAATATGGTAGTGCAGAATTCATTGTATTGCAAGATAAACCATTATACAAGTAGTGTATAAATATTCCACGATCTTATGTATTTGAAAGCAAGTCATAATTTTATACAGGTATTCATAATAGTTCTGGAATATATTGGTATGCAGTATTTGGTTTTTGAAAGTCAAACTATTATTTGCCAAAAGTGGACTTAACTGGATTAAATTACAGTAAAACTAATAAAAAATGTAGATATAAAAACATTATTCTGAACATTCAAGCAACTTGTTTAGTTGCCCAATGGGAGGTCTTTCCAGTTTATGGGACTCTTGTCCTGCTTCACCAGTATCTCGTTGGCTTTGGAGAAATGCTTACATCCGAGGTACCCTCTGTGAGCTGACAATGGAGAGGGATGCACTGACTTTAAAATGTGATGTTTCTTC